ACCTCTCTCCTGCTATGTGCCTTTCGAGGAAAAATGCAGAGAGGAGCCAGACAGAGATTCCAGCTGGTAGGGGCAGAAGCAGCCAAAGCAGGGACCTCTGGACATTCAGAGAACTTTCTTCAGTTTTGACTGGACTTTCTCTGCCCTGTGCTGATTGGCTGCTTGCTCCAACCCTCTCCCTCCTCCTCCCCCTCTTCCCCTCTCACAGTCTGTTCCCCTTGTTGGTATTACCCTCTTCCCTGCCTGTCCCACTCCTCACCTCTTCCCTTTCCTTCTTTTCCCTTCTCTTTCTATTTAGCTTATCCCCTTTTAAGTTACTGCCCCTCACTCCCCCCCCCCAGATTGTGGCACTATCATGCCATTTGCTACCATCCCATTGTTCACTCTGCTTGTGTGTTCTACCTCTCCCCCCCATCCTGTGTCTGTCTTGTCTATTTAGACTGTAAGCTCCTTGGGGCGGGGACTGTCTATGACTCTGTCTGTACAGTGGCTAACACAATAAGGCTCCATTCTTGCCAGGCCCTTACGCACAGGGGCAGCTCCAGGCACCAGCTCACCAAGCGCGTGCCTGGGGCAGCAAGCTGCGGGGGGCGTCCTGCTGGTCTTCAGCGGCGTGCCTGCGGGCGGTCCGTGGTCACGCAGATTCTGGAGCGATTCTGCGGGAGGTCTGCGGGTTCCGCGGTTTTGGCGGCAGTTTGGCGGCGGGTACACCAAAGTTGCGGGACCGGCGGATCACCCGCAGAAACGCCACCGAAGGCCGCCTGACTTCCGTGCTTGGGGCAGCAAAAAACATACAGCCACCCCTGCTTACGCACTACCATAATGAACATGTTTAACAGTAAAGTCAGTCCTCTGCATTCAAGCTACCTTCAGCTTCTATTCCACAGTTGATATTTATAAATCAGACTAAAGAGTTAGGCATTTAATCTGTGGCAAAATGGTAGTGTCTCTCAAGGGAATAGGGATGGATGTTTATTTCTTTTCTAAATGTCAGTAAAACTAGCAATAAACTCAGACAGTTTATTAGCAATATCACTCAATCATGGAGTTAAAATTAAACTTTATTGCACTGACATCTATGATCACAGTGTTATATTCTTCCTAAGAATACCAGCAGTAGGGTAGTTCACATCTTCAAATATGTGGATTTTCCCATGCTAATAATCTTCCAGCATGTGAGTTAAAAATGGATTACAAATTTTTGATTTAGCTTCTGAATGATAAATCGGGTTTCTATTTCAGGAAGTTAACTAAGTAAAAACAATTAACCATAGATGCTTTAATTGTTATGTACTATCTTGTATCACAAAATTAAAAGAAACAAGGTTAATCTTGAAAGGCAACCTATTTTCAACCTCCCTACACAAAAATTCAACAACCTAGGGAATGCTTTTGTAATAATAAAAACTGCCATTTACTAAGACAGGATAATGAATAAAGGGTTCATCCCTCAATGGTATGGGAAATCAATTGGACTACTCACATGCTTACAGTTAAGCAAGTTCTTAAGTTGTTGCTGGACTGGAGCAAGAGTTCACTTTACAAGATTGAGCCCTAAATCTGGTTTCATCCTTGCTATTGTAATGAAATTATTCATGAGGGGGCAGATTTTGCTGAAATGCTATCTTTGAGGGACTCTACCATCCACCATTTACCCATTTTATTCTTCATTCAGTATAATGGTAAAAATGATACTTAACTACCTCATGTTTATTGCCATGTTTAATAAATTTGTCTCTAAAAAGACTCTGAAATGCTTGAAAAAAATCCTATATAAGGAAAAAAGTATGTGAGGTGTGTATAAACACACACATATGTATATTTATGGTTACCTTGTTCTAAGCAGAAGAATTATTGCTAATTATAAATGTATTGCAATGGGAAAAAGTATTTTAGATTATACAATATTATACTTTTATTATATAATGCTAAATCACTTCTAAAATGTAATACATGGGTATTTAAAAAATAATTTGTTGGTTAATTAACTTTAAACCATAATTGAATTCAGCCTCTTTCATAAACTAGATTTTGACTGAAGTATCTGAAGTGTTTAATTACAGGTCTTGTATAAAAGAGTAATGGTGCACCCTTCAGAGCCTCTTATGAGAAAACCTGAGTGAGTGTACGAAAGGGAAGGAAATCTCTTTGAAGTTTTCATTTCAGATTTCTTCCTGATCATTCATTTATTTCATTTCACAGAACAGGCTGTGGAGCCTGGCCACAAATTCTGCAGACTGAATTTCATTGTCATGATCTTATACATTCACCTAGCTTTGTTCTCTCTGAATTTCTTCATAGACAGCTAGTTTTGGCTCAGCTGAAACATTTGGTATCTTCTTTAAATTCCTGATTCAGAAAAGCATCCCTATTCAAGAAAGTTCCTAGGTATGTGCTTAAGAGATGTCCTCAAGTCCTTAAGGGATGAACATTAGTATGTGCTTTAAGTATTTTTTTGGATCAGAACCTGAATTTTGCCACCTCATTGTTCTCCTGCTTTTCCAGATCATTAATAAAATATATTAAATAATATAATTATTTGTATGGAATTCTTGGAAACTTTATTTAGGGGCTAAATTTTGGCATGCTTTTTCTGTGCACAGAGGTAAATCTTTCTGGAGTCTTTGAAGGAAGTAAACTAAACAGCTTATTGTGCATATGAAAAAATGTTTTGCGTTGTATGAAATTGTTCAGTTATTTATTGCACTTGAGCAACTATAATACAAAAATGTGAACTAAAATGCTAAACTTGGTATGTACACAATCCTTCACAAGGATCATAAACTTTATCAAATTTGGGGGAACAAAATGTTTCTAATCCTCTGAAAATTACAGGTTGGTTATATCTACTTTTCCTTCCTGATTTAAGACCTTGATCCTGTAAGTGACGAGTAATTTGCAGAATTGGGTTTTTAAATGGAAAGAGTGTGCAATTCTAGTCTACTAATGCACTACTAATCAAGATAGCAAAATTATAACATCATTATATTATCTGGTAGACATTTTTGGTACTGTTTTGCAAGCTGACAAATACTATGCATGTTCACATGAAAAGCAGTGTCTGAGTTGCAAATCTGGCTATACATCACCTAGGAAACTGTGTTAGTGCCAACACTTCTATCCAATACCACAAATGAAATGTCCAGGTTGTCTTCTCATAAAACCAATTTTGTTCCTGGATCGATTCTTCCTGGTTATTTCTGTCTGTTAAACAATATTGTATTATTTGGTCTGTATCTATAATCCGGGCTATATTACTCAAAATGTAACACCTATTAAGAGTAACAAGCCAAAAAAGAAGAAGAAACTCAAATGAATTACATTTTCAGACATATAGGGTGAAATCAACAGGAATGTTGCTATTGACTTCAATGGAGCCAGTATTTAATTCATGATATTTTAGAGAATGGTAACTGGCTGCAAGATATGATTTAAGTGCAATACATTAGTGTTACTCAAAAATACTTCTTGCATCTCAGCATATGAAGGGATTCAAACTGAAAAATATATACATCAACAATGTTAAGAAAATCTATATTGGGCCCTATAACATTAATTTTGGATCCCACAATTTCTAATATTTCCAAAGTAATTGATATATAACGGACACGTTTAGAAATGTGTGCTCTTGAGTCTGTTACAGATGCAGAAATGTATGCTACTGTGTTTTGATGGTCATTTAAAAACATATCAATATGATGATAAATTATATACTGAAATCAAACAAGCAAACAAGCTTTAAGTTAAAAAATTACCAACAAACAAATAATCTGTTTCTGTCATTTTTAACTAAATTACAATAGCTACGGAAAAGCAAACAGATTTAATATAATTAAAACATTCTCTTAAATTTCTACCAGCTAGATTTTGCTATTTCAGTATTTATTTTGTTTTTGTACATAGCAGACCATATACTCAGCAGATTTATGTCAATCTAGTTCTATTGAAGTCAATGAAGCTTGGCTGAGCTAGACTAGCTGATGATCTATATCAATATAAGCAGAGAAGGCAAACAGAGAAAAAAACCTTTCAAATTCTGGGTTGCAAAGCAAGCAAGAACTCATTGCATCCAAAAATTACACCAGAATAGTTCAATTTATCCCTGCGGTTCAGGCACTAAAATTGCTGTGAAGTAGCTTTGAGCTCTTGGGCAATAATAATATCTAAATGAGGCTATGTAAAAAAGAAAAAATATCAACCATATATCTAAAAAAATTAAGACTGAAGGATACAGATCTTATTCTTTCTTCTAAGAACATCCAATTTCCTCTTTAATCTTATTTTCTCTTACCTTTATCTCCGCCTACCTTCTCAGTATTCATTCTCTATTCTAGACCAAAAGAGTTTTAAAAAGAGAAATGGGAGATCAAATAACAATACAGTCAGGCATGGCACCTAAATTTATAATCTGAAAACAAGAGATGTTTAAGAACTATCAAGAAACCCTGTTAAAAGTCACATTTGAAGAATGGTGTGTGTGGGGGGGGGGGAGGAGGGGGAGGGGAGGGATTTATACAAGCTTCTTACAGGATGTTTTCAATTCCATCCAACTGTTTAGAAAATATGTTTATGTAACTTGTGTTTTGATAACCTCTTCTCTGAAAAGTTCACTTCAACTTTCTGAGCCTCATTTTCTCATCTATAAAATGGGGATAATATTATTCCCATGCCAGGGATGGTGTGAAGTTTGTAAAATTATTTAAACAGTAAACATGTTACATTGTATTATTAACAACAACCTATACCTGTTTTATTTTTGTGAACTTATCTGTATTACAAAACTTTAATAAAAATTGTGAACATAGAAATGAAATTAGTGCCATTTAAAATATATTTAGTCCAGATTTAGGCTTGCAGCAAACTAAGGCCCCAGTTCAGGAAAACAGTTATCATGGGGTTAAATCCATCCCGGTTCAAGAAAGCACTTAAACATGCATTTATTTAACTAACACATTGACTTCACTGGAATGTAAGGATATGCTTCTTTACCCTTCCTGAAGAAAGATGTTGTCAGGAACTGGGGGCCAAGTTTGCAATCCTGCAAACACCTACACATAGTGGCACAAATTAGTAGTGCTTTTAATGTCAATGGGGCAATTTTTATGCACAGTTATTTGCATGCATGAGTTTTCAGGATCAGAGCTAAAGTTTTGATCCTGCAGTTTATTTCAATGGGACTACTCACACAGGTCCCTATTTCATAAGGTATCTAACTTCCGGGCAAGACTTGAGCATGTGCTTCTTTGCTGTCATGAACAGGTATGGATTTAAACTTTGGTGGTTTCCTGAAGAAGGTCCATAATAAGGCTTACAAGATTGGGCTTTATGAACCCAATCCTCGTGAGGGGCTGAGCATCCTCCAGGAAAGAAGGCTGCTGAGGCATCTCAGAGCTCGGGGCCCTCAGGCAGCATCAGTCACACATCTTCATACACCTTTTGAAATTGTGCGTCGGCTGGTAAGGGCAAAACCTAAACCATGGCAGGGATCATGGCGTGTTTTTGTGAACCACTGTCTAGATGTACAGTGCTGTCTATTTATTGACTACAGCCCCCTGTGTGTGGCAGCAGGAGCTGGCCCTCTGTTTGGAGAAGTTGGTTGTGGTTCCAATTAACACACACACACACAATCCAGCGAAAGGTAAGTCCCCAGCCAGCCTTCCAGAGATGGGAAGGGACGCGAGCAGCGTGCGACGCAGCAGTATTAACGCTGCTTGCCTTTGATGGGAAAGGATGAGTCCTGGAGGCTGGGGCTCAGCAGTGCATGGGCTGGACCAGGAAGCGTGGGAGGGCTGAGGGGAGGTGTGAGGGTGCAGGAGGGTGAGTCCTCCTGGCTCTGGATTGGCACGGGGGTTGCTGATAGGCAGCGTAGGGGATGCTAGCGTATTGCCCGCGCATTAGCGGCGCGATTAGCTAGGCTGTCTGTGGCGAGTTAGGAGCTGCGTACACGTGCAGCCCGGCGGGGCGGCAAGTTCCCTTCGGAAGAGGCAGCGCGCTGGAGCCAGGTGGCTGGCGAGCGCGCGGGAGGCAGCCGGGGAGGAGCCGGCTGGAGAGGAGGTGGAGGGAGCGGGGAGGGCCCAGGGAGGCTGCTGCGCTCTCAGGGAGACCTCAGTCCCCGCACACTCGCCCAGCGCTGCTCTCCGGCTCTGCCCTTTGGTGGCACAGCGCTGGGGGGACCCAAACCCCGCAGCCGTGGCGGAACTGCGAAGGAGACGGAGCTGGGCAGCGCCGCTGTGGGCGCATTTTACCACGAGGATCCCCCAGTAGCTCCCCTGCCAATCCCCCCTCCGCAAATCCTTGAGGCGGGTGTCTGCGTGTGTGAGCCAGCCCCGGCGGGCTGCATCCCGGGAGCCCCTACCACGCACTAGGCGCTGAGCCGGTGAGCAGCAGAGGCGAGATGCCATCCACCCTCCAGGCACCAGAAAGTTTCGCAGCTCCGTGAGCGCGGCGGCAAACTCCCCTCCACCCCCTTCTTCTGCTGGGCGCGTGGGGCTCCCTCGGTGCCTCTGCAGCAGCACGGGCTGTGGGCGTCTCTGGGGGCGAGGTGCAGGACAAGGGCGCTGTTTGTTCTCCTCCGTCCGTCCCAGCTGTTACTGGGGGGCAGCCGCAGCAGCCATGGAGCCCGAGGCGATTGCGATTCTCTTCCTGAACCAGAGCGAAGGGCCCCCCCGGGGGGAATTCAACCTCTCGGGGGAGGAGCAGGACACCAAGCCCCTCTTCGGCATCGGCATCGAGAACTTCCTCACCCTGGTCGTCTTCGGCGTGATCTTCGCCTTGGGGGTGCTGGGCAACTCGCTGGTGATCACGGTGCTGGCCAGGAGCAAGCCGGGCAAGCCCCGCAGCACCACCAACATCTTCATCCTCAACCTGAGCATCGCCGACCTGGCTTACCTACTCTTCTGCATCCCCTTCCAGTCCACGGTCTACGTGCTGCCCACCTGGGTGCTGGGCGCCGTCATCTGCAAGTTCATCCACTACTTCTTCACCGTCTCCATGCTGGTCAGCATCTTCACCCTCTCCGCCATGTCGGTGGACCGCTACTTGGCCATTGTGCACTCCCGCCGCGCCTCAGTCCTGCGGGTCTCCCGCAACGCGCTGCTGGGCGTGGGGCTCATCTGGGCGCTCTCCATCGCCATGGCCTCGCCCGTCGCGCACCACCAGCGCCTCTTCCACCGGGACGCCAGCAACCAGACCTTCTGCTGGGAGCAGTGGCCCAACCCCCAGCACAAGAAGGTCTACGTGGTCTGCACCTTCGTCTTCGGCTACCTGCTGCCGCTGCTGCTCATCTCCTTCTGCTACGCCAAGGTGGGTACGAAGGGGAGGATGTCGGGGGTGCAGGGGATGGGTGTACGGGGTGCAGCTACAAGGGGTATAGCTATAGGGGGTGTGTATGTGGTAGTTACAGGGGCGTAGGTATAGGGCGGGTGACTGGGGGTACAGTTACAGAGGTGGGGTGTAGCCATAGGGTGTGTGAGAGAGTTTGGGCTACAGTTACGGGGTGGTGTTTAGCTGTAGGGTGTAGCTATAGGGTGTGTGTGTGTATGGGGTAGTTACAGGAATGGGATGCTGGTATAAAGTGTATATGTGTGTACGGGGTATAGTTACAGGGGTGGTGTAGTTATAGTCGTAAAGGTATAACGATGAGTGTGTAGAGGAAGGGGTATAGGCATAGCTATAGGATAGGGCGGGGTATAGGGTGTTAGCATTTGCAAAACTGCGGGTAGATGGGTGGGCTACATGGTTTGTGTGTGGGTGCAGTAGCACAGCGCTAGGGTATGAGGGTTAGTTTTGGGACGGATGCATGGAAAGAGGGTACAGAGGTAAGGACATGGGAGGGGTTGAAGTTTCGGTGTGTGTAAGGGAGTGGGGTAGACTCAAGTGTGGATGGAGTTACACGTGTGGATTTATAGGCTAGGAATGTCCAGTTGGAAGGTGTTTCGGGGAACGTCACACCTGTGTGGGTCCGAGGGTGCAGCAATAAACGGGGGAGGAGATATAGTATAGGCGGTTGTGGGCGTATTCTCTGGTAGGTTTCATTTTTTTTTAAAAAAAAACCTTCTTTTTAAAATCTCCATTTCAGCTGCGATAAACACTCTGTGTTTTCCCGTAGTGCTGGGTGATGAGCTCCGAACTGGGTAAAGTGCAACAGTGTGCAAAGTTGTTAACATATAAAAAAATCAAATTAAAATGATTTAAAACATACTGCACTTAAACAAAACCCAGCCACATTATTACTGGGGTCCTGATGATTCGTACGATGCCTGTTCTACCACTTGTTTCTTAACGTCTAGTTAAAAGACACTAAGAGCAACAGGCACGCTGCCCGCTCGTCAGGGAGCCTCATCCTGCATCATCTGAAGTTAATGGGAGCTTTGCCGCTGACTTCAGGGGGCTCAGGATCACGCCTTTTGCTTCCAGAAAGCAATCACTTGATGATGAGCAAGTTTCTGATGAAAGGAGCTTAACTGTGACACACTCACTCTCCCCCTTTCTCCGCTCAGGCAATGATCCATTTTCTGTACCAGTGTTTTCTGCACCTTTGAAGGAAGCACCAGTTTAGACTACTGTTCTCCAGAATCTAGAACAGGTTGAATACAGTCCGACTGGACAGTTCTTTTACTGAGATCTTGCAAACCTTTACTCGCTTCCTTAGTTCTTACTCACTCCAGTAAACTGCATTGAAGTTAATACTTCTGCTCATGTGAGTAAAGTCTGTTCTCTTGCTGAGGGATCAGTTCCTCCAAAGCAAACATGTTTTGAGGGGGTTGGAGTGTCTAATTTATATAGTTTGTGTATAAATTCATTAATTGTGATGTGGAAAAAAGGGCTGATAGAGTGAAAACCTGCATTTTAAAACACTTTGAAATATGTATTCAAAAGACAAAGTTTCTAAATTACAGGGCAAAAACAACATTTAAAATGACAGAGGTGTCAAAGTGGCAAAAAGGCAAAAAATTAAAATTAGTATCAGCCCTTAAAGGTTTAGTTCTCTTTTCTCTGTGTGGTGGGTGGATTTCTCATTGTCTGTAATAGGAGTTACTGTGTGGACTGAGGGGGAAGTAACCAATACCATAGATTTGATCATCACCATATTTAAATAAAGATATTAACAGGTATGGAGAAAGTGTTAATGGACATGCTCAACAGATGCCTTTTTTAAACATTAATTTTTAATTAGTAAGTATAAATAATTTTATAGCCAAAAGAGCCTCATTCACAATATTGAGTAACGGCCTCTAAACTCTTGTTTTTTACGTGAAAGAAGTTTTATAAGTTAAACAAGTGTGAATGTTTTTTAAAATTATAAATTTTTACTTGTGGAATTTAAAAACAAAATTAAAAGGGATTGTTTTGTTAACAGACTTTATTGTAATATTTAAGTTAATATAATCACACCATTTTGATTACAAAAATAACTATTTACTATAAATATTACTGTAAATAATTTGATTTAAAAAAAATCTTTAAATCTGAGTCCCTGAATGTCAAGTTTATGCCCAAAGCAAATCTTTTACGGTCAAGTTAAAATAGCCTGAAATAGGGGTTAACTACACTAATTAAATGAATGTTTAATTAACATTAAAATGTTGTCACAGCCAAGAAATCAAGGCAATTCAAAGTTACATCTGAAACCGCCTTCTTAATTCGCTACCAAGCTGTCCTTACTTCACCCTTGTTTTGGTTAGGAATTGAAGGGCTCTGAGATGACAGGCCTAATCCTGCTCCTGCTGAAGTCAGGATCCAGGTGTGAGTTGCTCACCACCCTCAACACTCATTCGTGGCAGTGAGAACTGAGTAAACTTAGCCCTTTGCGGGAGGCACTTGGAATCTGTCTGCAACATAAGGGCTCACTCCTACTGTCACTAAAGTCATTGACAAAACTCCACCTGCAGTATTTTGGCACATCTGTGTGAGCAGGGGGTAGGGTAGGTTAAGATTGGAATGGCAATAAATCAACGACAGAGTTTCAGCCTTAAATTTGTCAATGCCATGGCTGCGATAGTATATGTCCAGCAAAGGAGTCATCATGAAGCTCCATTCAGCAAATTACCATAGAATTCTATTGAAATAAACACAACCCATGACATCTTGGCTTCCCAGTACACACAATGTGAAAGGAAAGTTACTGTTTAATATAACAGGTACATCAATGGCAACATTTAGTTATAGAGCATATTACTAGGTCAGATCTGCAGCTGGTATAAATTGATGTAGCTTCATTGATTTCTATGGAGCTACATTGAATTACGCCAGCTGAGGATCTGTGAAATAATAATGATAAGGAAGCTTCAGTCTTCTCATAATGTAGTTTAAGACAAAGGGAATGCAGTTCTCTATTTGAATAGATGGCATTTTCAGGACTGTTGTAAGGCAAGTTCTTGGTTTTTTTTATGCAAATTGTAATTTCCTTCATTTTTTATGTATTTAAATGGCAGGCTAGCTGTATTCCCTCTGTTTTAAATTACATTATCAGAGAATTCACATCCTACTGGGAAGTACTAGCAAAAGGACAGCTCTTGCTGAGAGACAACAGCATCATTACAAATTACAGAAATACAGAAACAGTGATGAGTATTTCTAAAATCTATCCTCCTGCAAGCCCAGAGAAAACCAGAGCTGGCATTCGCATGCAATGAGATGTATAAGCAGTGATTAACTATTTAATAGTTCAGTAGTGCATATTAAGTTAAGTGCATATTATTTGATGGATAGCTTGAAATGGCTCTTCGGTAAGTGTGATTTGTCATGAGATAACATATTTCTTTTATTATTTACATATTAGCTTATTGTATGTACTATTATGAGGTTACTATAGGATTACACATTAAAAAGTGCCAATTAAGGCCCAATGCTCAAGCCTGCAAAGTGCCAAAGCTCATTTTGGGAGGTCCTGAGCATCTTCAGTTCCTATTTACCAAGGAAGTCAAAAGTGACTAGTGATTTTGGGTGACTCAGTTTTTGGGTGCCCAACCTGAAAAAGCTTAAAGCTATCCTCTGAAAACCAGGACTCTTTCATGTTGGGCACACAAAAATCATGGCACCCAGAAACTGAGGTAACTACAATATTAGTCACTTTTGAAAATCTTGGTCATTGGCTTTGATGGGACTACTTATGTGGCAAGATATGGCCCTGAATGATTATTGTCCATTTACCCATTTCAAATATTAATAACTGCCCTATTTTTTACTTTTGCCTTTAGAAATACTAAGAGAAACCTGGCTCCATTATGTACTAATATCCTGAACATTCTGAACTGTGGACTGAAATCTTGTATCCCAAGTTTCAGCAGGAGGATGTTAATGGAAGAGGTATAATCCAGACCCACCAATAAAAATAAAACTAAATAAAATCTATAATAGTAGTAGTGACACAATACTAAGTAGAATGGAATGAAAGGCTCTGCTGTAGTAATTGGAGTTGGTCCCATTACCATAACTATGGCACTGCTGACAATGATATTTGAATGTAAATAAGATTTATATGACAAATCGTGGTTCAGAATGCAATGTTTACACAACATACAGGTCATTATTATTAGACAATTACCTTGTGTAATCTACTCAGGGGCATTCTTTTAAATGGATCTTTCCAGGAGCTACTAATAATGAAAGTGTAACCAATGAAATGGCTGTAAGTAGAGCAGGGTCACTTAAACCATGTTCTCTCTCTCTCTCCCTCCCCCTCTCTCCTCCAATATGATTTCAGGAGGAGAGCGGGGAAGAGAGAGAGAGAAAGGGAGGAGCCTGATCCAGCATAAAGGAGACATATACATGGGTTACATTCCAGCAATTTATATTATGCACTTTTTTTTGGTAACACAGTCAGTGATGGCTTGAAGACTCTTCTACCGCCATGGTCATAAAAAACCCTGCAAAACCGCGGGTTAATCAGGAGAATTTATTCCATTTTATTCTTTCCTGAGAGCAAAATATGATCTGAAAAAACAGGTGTATGAAAGCTGGGAGTTTGAAAAGTTTAACATAAGGAATTGTTTTTCCAGATTTGAAGTCTTTTGAGATATAAATTCTTGTTAGAAAAGAGTATGGAGTACATTTTAAGCTAAGTGAGTGGGGATTTAGTTGTGTGAGTCAACTATCTTCTCCAGGCTGCTTAAAAAAATAAAAAATGACCCTTCACTTCAGCTAGCTTTCTGAGCACAGATGGAGTATTACATCTTGGTACCAGGCTCACTTGGATGCATTCTGCATGTTACAGGTTTTCCCCCTAAAAATCCTGCAGTGGTACCAGCAGCTACAAATGCAGAAGTAGATGTTTTAAAAACTACTTGGGGTCAAATCCTGACTGGCATCTGGAAAACAGCATAATAGACCCCACCAAGCCCATAGTGTTTGCTGTAAGAATGGTTTTCACTTCTCTCTCACTGGCTCTAACTGTCTTCCAAAGTCAGCCACACATACACCACTCACTGCTCTCATCCCCTCATCCAGCTCCTACTCATAGCTTGCTAGAAACTGCTTATTCTGTATATTACTCTGGCAGAAGCAGCCAGGATTTTCTCTTCCCTCCCTTTGCCCAGGTGAGAGGAGGAAAGCAGGAGTCAGGAGAAGCAAGATCATTGCCCCAGGTTCTCTACAAGAACCCAGGAGTTCTTCTCATGGAAGTCTGGGAAAAGGGCTGTTCTTGCCCTCTGGTCTCCTTACCATTGAGGTGGAGAGGTCTGGGGGTTCAGCCAAGGCCACACTCAGTAAAGGCCAATCTATGTGTCCTTTCATCCTCTTTGTGGGTCCAAGCTTGTTTACTGACAGTTTGTGTCATGTCAGGAAGATGCAGAAGAATGGAGATTGAGATGTACCAAAAAGATGCAGGATTGAGTTGTTGGTATGTATATACTGCTGAACTAATACACTTCTAATGTATTTAACAGTTATAATACTTTTAGCCTTGGATTTACATAAAAATTGTCTTTAATTGATGTTTTCAGGTCTCAGGCAGTCTTTTAAAAGTGGAACATCTTTCCTCTTCCTCCACAAGTGACCATCATCGTTCAGAAATATATCCTTTTTCTTTTTAACTCATTGGATACATTTTTCAGAACATATGATTAATACTGGATCAGATCTGTGATCCATCTTATCTAATATCCTGTCTCAAAGTGACCAGAACCAGATGGTACAGAGTAAGGGGCAAAAGACACCACGATAGGCAGATACGGGATAATCTGCCCCCAGGGAAGTTTCTTTCTAACCTCTAAATTGAGATTGGTTTATAAACCCTGAAGCATGTGGTTTTCTATCCCTCCTAAAACTCTGTAAAAGTATGTATTGTTATGACTCTGAACAGTGTTGTTATCCATATAAATACCCAATCCCTCCTTTGATTTTGCTAAATTCTTGGTCTTCAGGACATCCGGTGGCAATGAGTTCCATAGTCTAATTGCGTATTTGAATTTGTCACCTTTCCATTTTATTGAATGTTTCTTTTTTTTGTATTATACAGTCTACTTCTCCATAAACATTTGCATGGCAATTTTTTTTCTTCAGATCCTGGCCTACAAATACTCTTAATTTCAGAGTGAATGATGGTTGCAGCCAAAATATGTTCCTGCTACACTACCCAAAAATCTTGTGCACAGACTATCAAGGTTCTGTTACAATTTCGAAGCTGCTCTTTAATGACAAATCAATTCTGTTGCCAGAATAAAAAACTGACCTACTATAGTTACATAACAAGTCATGGCAAGTCTTGCATAAAGGTCATATTTCACTTGTGACATGTTTTTGTATAAATTAATTAAAAACATTTTTATGTTCCTTCTTCAAAATCAGACAGCTCCAAGGGGTGATTATTTTAACCAAATATCCAGCTGATGAATGCAAATTACGCAGAAGACTAAAGAAAGTTACGGTTCAAAATATACATATTTTATTTTATGTGCAGAGAAGGTCATCCTAAATTCACAAACATAGACATTCTTATGGAAGGAAAATGATTGCCAGTTAAAAATTATTGTAGAACAGGTTTATGTTTATTGGCAGATTGGGTTCACTGCCATGCATATTTTGTTATGTGATGCATCTGCTTTTTATATTAGAATTAAATAACTTATGTGCTTCATATTTGTTGATTCCCACAGGTGCAGATTAGATATTACAGATTACACTTTTGAAATGTGTAGACTGCATACATCAACATTTGCAAGCAATATTGGACAGCATAATTTTGAAAAATGTCCTTTAATTTTAAAAGCAGTTTAATATACACCTTGCATTTATCTTTTTCAGGTCCTTAATCATCTGCATAAAAAGCTGAGAAATATGTCAAAGAAGTCAGAAGCATCGAAGAAAAAGGTAGATTGCTTTCCTTACCAAGCATTCTAACTTCTCAATGTAATGTTGATTATTACCAAAAGTGTAACAAAGAGATGGACTTGAATCTAAATACACCTGAACATTGAGGGTTTAAAATCCAAACCTGAAACCAGATTTGAATTTTGCATTTGGCCCCTAGTCTCTACAATGGGCTAAGACACTATTCTAGATCTTTATACCTTGAACTTTTGAGGATGTGAAAACCAGATCCAGACCCAGTCCTTGTGACTCAGAGGTATTTATAGTATAAAAGTACTTTTCAGTTCTCCTGTGTGTTTTCCCTTTCTTGTGAATTTTTTCGGCTAATGTAATTTTTGATGTAATACAAAAAATTTCTGATTTTTAAGATAAAACCTTCTAAATAAGGTTTATTGTACTTCCTGATCCTCTTTTAAAACTTTGCCATCATGAAAAATGTTTTTATTCTCTGCTGTTCAGGGCTTAAATTAAACACCCACTACTAATACTGCAAATAGGATTTGGAAAAGATCTTTAAATCACAAAGCTAATATTGTTCTTTAGGACTGTATAGAAGGGTCTGTATCATAGTGAATTTATCTGGTAATACAGCATATACAGTTCTAATTTTGAGCAGACTTGAAACCAGGAGTTTCTTGCCCAACTTCTATATTTATGAACAATGCAGTCAAATAAATCTTTAGGGCACAGCTATGCAGTCTAGGGTTACAAACTTTCTACTTGCACAAAACTGAACACCCTTGTCCCACCCCTACCCCGCCTCTCCTCCGAGGCCCCACCCCCTGCTCACACCCTCCCTCTGTTGCTCGCTCTCCCCACCCTCACTCACTCGCTTATTTTCACCAGGCCGGCTCAGGGGGCTGGGGTTTGGGAGGGGGTGAGGGCTCTGGCTAGGGGTGCAGACTCTGGGGTGGGGCCAGAAATAAGGAGTTCAGAGTGTGGGAGGGGGCTCCAGGCTGAGGCAGTGGGTTGGGATACAAGAGGGGGTGACAGCTCTGAGGGTGTGGGCTGTGGGGTGGGGCCAGGGAGGAGGGGATTGGGGTGCAGGAGAGGGCTCCGGGCTAGGGGTGGAGCCAAGGGGTTCAGAATATGGGAGGGGGCTCTGGGCTGAGGCAGGGGGTTGGGATGTGGGAGGACGTATGAGCTCTGGACTCGGGGGTGCGGGTTCCGGGCTGGGGCCTGAAATGAGGGGTTCAGAGTGTGGGAGGGTGCTTCGGGCCTGGGCAGGGAGTTGGGGTGTGTGTGGGGGTGAGGGCTCTGGCTGGGGGCGCAGACTCTGGGGTGGAGTTGGGGGTGCAGGAGGGTACTCTGGGCTGGGACTGAGGGGTTTGGAGGGCAGGAGGGGGATCAGGGCTGGGGCAGGGGGTTGGGGTGCGTGTGTGTGTGTGAGGGCTCTGGCTGGGGATGCAGACTCTGGGGTGGGGCTGAGGATGAGGCGTTTGGGGTGTAGGAGAGTGCTCCAGGCTGGGACCGAGAGGTTTGGAGGGTGGGAGGGGGATCAGGGCTGGGTCAGGGGGTTGGGACATGGGGGGGAGTGAGGGCTCTGGCTGGGGGTGTGGGCTCCGGGGTGGGGCTTAGGATGAGAGTTTTGGGGTGAAGGAGGGTGCTCTTGTCTGGGACTGAGGGCTTTGGAAGGCGAGAGGGGGATCAGGGATGGGGCTGGGGGAGGGAGTTGGGGCCTGGGAGGGGGTCAGGGGCGCAGGTTCTGGGTGGCGCTTACCTCAAGCAGCTCCTGGAAGCAGCAGCATGTCCCTTCTCTGGCTCCTACGTGGAGGGGCAGCCAGGCAGCTCTGCGTGCTGCCTTATCCGCAGGCACCACCCCCACAGCTCTCATTGGCCACAATTCCCTGCCAATGGGAGTTGCAGGTGTCGTGCTTGAGGCGCGGGTAGTGTGCAGAGCCCCCTGGCTGCCCATACGCATAGGAGCCAGAGGGTGGACATTCTGGCTGCTTCCTGGGGGCGTGCAGCACAGAGGCTAGCAGAGAGCCTGCCAGCCCTGCTGCGTGGCGCTGCCAACCAGAGAGTCAACGTCCCAGTCAGCGGTGCTGACCGGAGCCGCCAGAATCCCTTTTCGACCAGGTGTTCCAGTTGAAAACCAGACACCTGGTCACTCTAGTGCAGTCTGAGCTGATGGATATAATCATATGCCCATGCAGAATCTCACTGAAGTAAATGGAGATCCACATGCATGCAGGGCATTGCCTGTGCAGACTGGATTGCTGAATCAGGCCCTAATTTAGACAGTATTTATACAATCCCTAATTTTTGATAGAAACACTAGTCAAGATTTTTTTTTTAGAGGCACAGTCTTAAAAGGATTAGGTATTAAATCTCTGATTCAGCAAGATACTTAAGTACTTTGTGGAATTGGGATCTATGATATAACTACTAAAGGCTCAGAAAGTCGCCAACTTTTGTGATTTTTATTGCGCGTCTTGTGACTTTTGGTGTTTTGAAAGCTTCAGCTCTTGGAGTCATGTGGTTATATGAAAATCTGAGCTTTAATTTAACAATAAAAAAGTGTACCCTTATGTATCTTAAGGGCTCAAAAACCAGAAGGCAAACAAAATTAACCAAAATGGCACTGTTTGAAAAATATAATTGTTTTAAATCAATCTCATGAGTTTTTGGGGTCCAACTAATGACAGTTGAATGCTTGGGGTTGGCAATACAATTTTACATAGTATATATTTTTTCAGTAAGGCTAATTTAAATTATTATTTCTTCTAAATAACAAGAACTCTTGCTCATTTTCATTCTGCATTTAGGGCCTAATCCTATGTTTCTCACCTTATTCAAACCAATGGGAGTTTTGCCTGATTAAGGATTTCAGAAGTGGATTTTTAAATTAGACTTTCATATATAAGAAAAAAGTTAAATGCAAAATAAATGTTTGCCAGAATACTATTTTTGTATATTTATTGATCACACACAAAACATTAGCATTAATATATTAGAATTAGCATATTTCCTGAAATTATATTTCAGGTAGTTTTATTTATTTATTTATGTGTAATGTTAAGTCATCCCATTAAATAAACAAGAGCAGCCCTGTAGCGTTTCCTTGGTTGCAGATTATACCGATAATGTTGTAAAGGTAAGCTTTGGAATTAGGCTTGAGAGGGATAATGGAATAAAACAGATGTGCGAGGATTGTCAAACCATTACGCACCCTTATGCATCCCACAGGTACCACGTATCTTAAGCATGATAGATTTAAGAGACACAGGGACAAAATCTGCCCTAAATTCTATGCCAACCAACTACAATCGGGGGTGGGGTGGGGAGGGTTGCTTGGGTGTAAATAAGGACAGAGACAAATTTCTCTTAGTAAGTTGAGCAGGTATACAATTATCCATATTATTCTGCTTTGGATCAAAATGTTAACATAATGGAAGGGGTACAGCACTGTGCTTTCTTTATGTCATAGCTGTAGGAAAAAAAGAAATTTCTGAAAAAAAAATCTGTAGGTTTATTTTCCTTTTTGTTTCCTTCTGAAAATGTGTGTGTGATAAACACAGTATTTCAGTTCCCAGTGGGAATCTTTCCTAAATTGAAGGGTCCTATTTGTAATCCTTTATTAAGGCAGATCTTTTATTAGGCAGATTCTGTGCTGGTGTAAATTAGCACAATTTTATTGATATCAGCAGAGTTTTATTGATTTGCATCAGCTGAGAACCTGGCTCATTATTTGCAAATATTTCAAAATTTGGCAAAAATTTCCTTGCTCTGTCTTGTCCTTCCTATCCCCTACTACTGCCCCTAGAAACAGACTTGGGAGAGGTGTCCTCTTGGTGTCCACTCCCCTTCACAAACATATTTTATTTTTTAAACAGAGGGACAGATCCTCAGCTGTGAAAATTGTCAGATACAGTGACATACTCTATGACAGCAGTTCTCAAACTGTGGGTCGGGACCACAAAGTGGGTCACAACCCAATTTTAAAGGGGTCGCCAGGGCTGGCTTAGACTTGCTGGAGCCCAGGGCTGAAGCCCGAGCCTCACCGGCTGGGGCTAAAGCTGAAGCCTGAGAGCTTGAGCCCTGGGCAGCGGGGCTCAGGTTACAGGCCCCTTGCCTGGGGCTGAAGCCCTAGGGCTTTGGCCCCTCCACCCAGGCAGCAGTGCTTGGGTGGGCTCAGACTTCGGTGCCCCCTCTTGGGGTTGTGTAGTAATTTTTGTTGTCAGAAGGGGGTCATGGTGCAATGAAGTTTGAGAACCCCTGCTCTACAACAATTTACACCAGCTGAGGATCTGCCCCAGAGACTACAGGTTGCCTGAATCTTGTTCACTACCTACTCTAGAATCAAACACGTGGGTTATTTCATGCTAGTTTTTAAATTTATCCATAACATAATCCCACTGTAGACAGTGAAGTTACACAAGAGATGGATCTGGCTTTAGGCTTGAAGGAACTCATTTAGGGCACAATGGGAGAGTGTGTGCAGGGGTAAGACAAGTCTAGGATAGAGTGCTGTGGAGTATGACAGGTGGAAAGATCACTAAATAGAATCATAGAAGTGTAGGACTGGAAGGGACCTCAGTAGGTCATCTAGTCCAGTTCCCTGCACTCAAGGCAGGACTGAGCAATAACTAGACTAGTGGTTTTCAACCTGTGGTCCGTGGACCCCTGGGAGTCTGCAGACTATGTCTAAGGGATCTATGAAAGACCATAGAACAGTGGTTTTCAACGTGTGGTCTACAGACCTCTGGGGAGGTCGGTGGACTATGTCTAAGGTTTCAAAAGGGGTCTACCATTCAAAATTTTTTAGGCATCCACAAATGAAAGAAGGTTGAAAACCACAGAACTAGACCATAATCTGTTCTTAAAAACCTCCAGTGATGGAGATTCTAAAACCTTCCTAAACAATTTGTTCCAGTGCTTAACTACCCTGACAGTTTGGAAGTTTTCCCTAATGTTCATCTAAACATCCCTTACTACAATTTAAGCCCCTTGCTTCTTGTCCTATACTCAGAGGTTAAGGAGAACAATTTTTCACCCTCCTCTTCGTAATAACCTTTTAAGAAAACTTATTATGTTCCCCATCAATCTTCTCTTCTCCAGACTAACAAACCCAATTTTTTCAATCTTCCTTCGTAGGTCATATTTTCTAGACCTTTAATCATTTTTGTTGCTCTCCTCTGGACTTTGTCCAGTTTGCCCACATCTTTCCTGAAGTCTCGTGTCCAGAACTGGATACAGTACTCCAGTTGAGGCCTTATCAGCGTGAAGTAGAGTGGAAGAATTACTCCTCGTGTCTTGCTTACAACACTCCTACTGGGGTTTGCTTTTTTTGCAACAGTGTTACACTATTGACTCATATGTAGCTTGCGATCCACTGTAAACCCCAGATCCCTTTCCACATTACTTCTTCCTAGGCAGGCATTTCCCATTTTGTATGTGTGCAATTGATTGTTCCTTCCTAAATGGAGTACTTCGCATTTGTCCTTATTGAATGTCATTCTCCTTTACTTCAGACCAGTTTTCCAGTTTGTCTTGATCACTTTGAATTTTAATCCTATTCTCTAAAGTACTTGAAACCCTTCCCATTTTGGTATAATCTGAAAACTTTATAAGTGTACTCTCTATGCCATTCTCTAAATCATTTGAGAAGATATTGAACAGAACCGAACCCAAGGCCTATCCCTGCGGGACCCCACTCAATATTCCCTTCCACGTTGACTGTGAATCATTTATAACAAGCCTCTGGGAACCAATTATGCACCCACCTTATAGTAGCTCCTTCTAGGCTATATTTCCCTAGTTGGTTTATGAGGTGGTCATGTGAGACATTATCAAAAGCCTTACTAAAGACAAGATATACCAGATCAACCGCTTCTCCCTATCCACAAAGTTTGTTACCCTGTCAAAGATAGTGATTAGGTTGATTATATGTGACAAATTCATGTTGGTTGTTACTTACACCTTATTATCTTCTAGGTATTTACAGATTGATTTCTTGATAATTTGCTGTATTATATTACTGGTCTGTAATTCCCCAGGATGTCCTTATTTCCCTTTTTTATAGATTGGCATTATATTTGCCCTCTTCCAGTCCTCTGGAATCTCTCCTGTCTTCCTTGAGTTTTCAAAGATAATCGCAAATGACTCAGATATCTCCTCAGTCAGTATTCTAGGATGTATTTCAACAGTAGTTGCCAACTTGAAGACATCTAATTTGTATAAGTAAATTTTAACTTGTTTTCCCCTATTTTAGCATCAGAATCTACCTCATTTTCACAGGCATTCACTATGTCAGATGTCTGATTGCTACTAACCTTTTTGGTGAAAACTAAAACAAAAAAGGCATTTAGCACTTTTGCCATTTCCACATTTTCTATTATTGTCTTTCCCCCCCTCATTGAGTAATAGGCCTACCCTGTCCTTGGTCTTCCTCTTGCTTCCAATGTATTTCTGGAATGTTTTCTTGTTTTCATGTCTCTAGCTAGTTAATCTCATTTTGTGCCTTGGCCTTTCTAAGTTTGTCCCTACATGCTTGTGTTGTTTTTTAATAGTCATCCTTCATAATTTGACCTTGTTTCCACTTTTTATAGGACTCTTTTTTGAGTTTCAGATCATTGAAGATCTTCTGTTTCTTCTTATTTCCCCCAGCTACTTCATCATCACTTGTGGATGTGAAAGAGTTTTCCTTTTGGCATGGGAAGGTTCATCTTAGCAGACCATCTGCTCTGTTGATTAGGTGACCCTGATGTGGATGGTTTCCTGGAGCTTTTGTATTTCCAAAGGCAATGGATATTATTTGATGGATTGGGCCCAGTGAAATAAGAATCTAGGTGTGGATGATTGTGTTAGTGAGGTTAAGAGTGAAGGTGAAGTTCTACTGCTGCGCAAGGAAGCTACTCAGAGCGGAATACATTTCCTATACCAGCCAAATTCTGTTTGCAGCTAAAGGGAATTAAATCTAATGCTAACATTTCTCTTGAGTGAGAACTAATTAGCACAATCTCCCATGCAGAACATTTTTATCCATTGTCACTGAAATGGAAATGATTTTCATGAGCAGTCCAAACTTCTCTTAAGGAGATGAGATTGATTTCTTACCGGCCTGAGCTAAAAATCTATTGTTCAGAGTATGTGGCTGCACCAGTCATTACAGGTAAATAGAACCCAAATTCAAGAACCTAGCAAAATATCTAGGCCTCATGTACACTGATGTGTACCATTTCATGGCTCTGTGTTATAACATAGTTTAGTGTTGCTTGAGTAGATGGGACTATAGGCTCTATGCCCAGGGATATAAGATAGCTCTGTAACATGGTTTGATTCCATCTACACAGGCAAGATCAAACCATGTTGTAAAAGTGACAAGACCCTATTTATGTAATAACAGTGAATGACAAATTTGGTAGTTAAGATGGGGCTTACGTCTCTCAGCAATGAACTAATTGAAAGAAGTAGTAGCTGGAAACTTAATAGGTGTTAATTTGTCAAACAATTGCAAAACAACAAGTATTTTCCTAAAGAAATAACTGAAACTTAAAGAAAGCCCCGACAATGATTTTTCCAAGCCACGGTTGCATTCCATTATCCTAGAAGCCTAACATTTCTCTATTTATATCCTAGTACTCCCCATTGACAGAGTCTATCATTGGAGATGGATGGCATCTCCTTATGAAAATAAGGACAATGAAGTCAGGTAGCACTAGTGGGTCTAGTCTGTTCTGCTCAATTCGTTAGTTTTGTCTAAAATACTGTTTTTGTTGGTGAGCTTGGGTTTCCAGGTTATCAAAAGCATATATTAGCCCCCTCCTCCCAATTTAGGTTTAATACATATATTGTGGTCAGTTTTCATTGCTGGGCACCAGGGTGTACTCCCATGATTTCCACCAACATTAATGGGATTTGTATGGCTAATGGACAGATTTGCAAAAGACCTCTGGTCCCCATTTAGGCACTTAAATTAAGTGGCCAGCTGGATGCTGAGCACTTTTGAAAATGTGGCAACTGAATTTAGGTGGAGGTCTTTTGAAAATCTTTATGCAATACACAGAAAACACAGCCTATTAGATTTAAAGTTATGGGATTTCCCAAAGGCTTGCATCACCACTGCATTACACCAGTTTTGTGTCAGTGGAACGCCATTGCAACTCAGTCAGAGGTGAAAGTAAGCCGGTACGCCCTGGTATGGCGTACCGGCAAGAGCCGGTTTGTGGTACCGGGGTGGCCTAGCTTCCCCGGGGGCAATTTAAAGGGCCTGGTACTCCCAGCACGGGTTGGAGCCCCAGGCCCTTTAAATTGCCACCAGAGCTCCACCGCTGGAGCCCTGGGGTAGGGCTGCGGGGCTCTGGGGGCTATTTAAAAAGTCCGGGGCTCCCCTGCTTCTACTGCCCCAGCCCTTTAAATAGCCACGGGAGCCCCGCTGCTTCCCCAGGGCTCCTGCGGCTATTTACAGGGACGGGGCGGTTGAAGCAGGGGAGCGGCGGGCCCTTTAAATAGCTCCTGGAGCCCCGGGCTGCTGCTGCTACCCCGGTGGGGGGGGCACTTACCTTAAAGGGTGGGCTGGTTCTGACTCCCTCAGCCACGCTCCTTCCGCCCTAGACCCCACCCCTTCCGGGGGCCAAAGCTGGCCCCAGTGTACTGGTAAGTCACTGGACTTACTTTCACTCCTGAACTCAGTGGAGTTCCACTGACACAAAACTGGACTAACAAAGTAGTTAATCAGAGCCTTAATCTTTACATATTGCTCCCTGCCATTTGAATTCACACAGTCCGTGCAATGGGAACCTCATGTTTATCAAGTGAAATTTGAGGGCCTATGTTCTTCTTGACCTAATCCAATTATATGAAATATAATACATATGAATTATATGCATCCGAAGAAGTGGGCTGTAGTCCACGAAAGCTTATGCTCTAATAAATTTGTTAGTCTCTAAGGTGCCACAAGTACTCCTGTTCTTTTTGCGGATACAGACTAACACGGCTGCTACTCTGAAACCTGTCATAATACATATGGCTGATAAACTGAAATAGTTTAGAAATGTGTTTTTTCCTAATATTTTTGTATCCCTAAATAATGGTTTTGAAGCATGTTGTTTGAAACTGTTTGCTCAAGTGTTAATAAATCATCCATGTTTCTCTTTTCCTGCCTTAGACAGCCCAGACTGTGCTGGTGGTGGTGGTGGTTTTTGGCATATCTTGGCTGCCACATCATGTGATCCACCTCTGGGCTGAATTTGGAGTTTTCCCACTGACTCAAGCTTCATTTCTCTTCAGAGTAACAGCGCACTGCCTGGCTTACAGCAATTCTTCTGTAAATCCTATTATATACGCATTCCTCTCTGAAAATTTTAGGAAGGCCTACAAACAAGTCTTCAAATGCCAGATAGGTAATGAATCACCTCTGAATGATGTTAAAGAAAGTAAAAGTCCGATAGATACAGCACCGTCTACCAATTGTACTCAGGTGTGAGCAACAATTAAAAAAATATCCTGTCATGTTGGGTTTTCATACGTGTGGACTAGATGTCTAGAAAAGCACAATGAGCTCCTAAAAAGAGCTGCAGCTTCAGCTTCAGCTTTAGCTTGATAATTGGTAGAATTAAAAAATTCAGTTTCCTTACATTTACCAGATAACTGTGGCCATTCTTAATATTAGACATCTTTGTCTAGCATGGTTCAAATGAAGATCTGTCCTCTGAAAGATGTTCCAGAAAAAGTGGGTAATGGTATGTCAGTACTAGCCCTCTTATTCATTTAGTAGGAAAGCTAATAACTTGCTATTTATAAATATTAACATACAGCATATTCCAATTGCGCCTATAACACAAATATGTTAACATAGAATGCAATTGTACAATTCCTAATCCAGTTCTATAATGTCAAACTTTATTCTATAAATTGTGTGTGTGGGGGCGGGGAATTAGCTCTCACCTCAAAGAAAGGTAATTAATGGTGCAGTACTATGAACTTCAGTCATCTCTTCAAGGTTGGTTCTGACAATGGTTTTGTTTGTTTTTAAGCAAATGTTGAGCAGAAATAATTTTCATATGCTGAAGTAATTACTTAGAGAAGAAATGCTAAACTAACTATATAACTGTAGAATTTACACCATGTTATTGAGGTACTGAGGTTGTACTTTGTGTGCCTAGCCTGGCTGCATATACAAAACAATGGTTACACCTTTATAAAATTTTGCTTAAGACACTCACATAATTGTGGCATAATATAGGTTGATGTAGTCAAAGTGGGAAGGGTTTGTTTTAGGCCTCTGTGTGTGTGTGTGTGTGTGTGTGTGTGTGTATATATATAATCAATAACTAGAAATGGCATTATTTTATATATATATATAATAAATAATATATGCCATTTCTAGTTATTGATTATATATATACACACACACACACACACACACACACACACAGAGG